CCACCCCCCCCCCCCCCCCCCCCCGGCCGCCGTCAAAAAAATAATGGTCCCTCCCTAAAACAGCAATATCCGTGTGACTTGGCTCCTTAAAAAAAATAACAAAAAGGAAATAAAACGTGAAGAACTTGCCTCTTTTAGTCTGTCTCTGATTTCTGCTTCCTTCATTAACTGAGCTTCAAAGATTTCTTTTTCCTTTTGACTCATTTCTTCCTTTTCTGTTAACTTCCCCTCAGCTTTCTTCTTCTTTTTCAGTGACTGAAAAAAAAACACCCTCATACAAATCAGTTTTCAATAATTTTATATTCATAATAAACATCGCCTGCAGAGCAGGCGCTTTCCCCCCCTTTTTTTCGGGCGAACGAGGCACGAAGCGGGCGTGGAGTGCGAGACAAGTGCGTCTGCGCCTTTCCCCGTTGCGCGTGTCTGGCGCTCTTTACTTGCTTCGCGTTTGCCTTCGCTCGCCAGTTCGAAGACAAAACTAACGGCGCATCAAAACAGGGTTGGTTTCAATCTGAGGTAAAGCCTTTGCAACACAAGCAAATTTCCAAGACAAGCTGCAAAACAGGTATAATTTACTTGGTTGTATTGTTGCCACATCGTAGAAGCTGTGACGATATTCAAGATCGTATTCTCTTTAAAAACTAGACATACTTTTGCTCGCATGTACCCTTTCTTTTAAACAAGAAAAATGGTAAAATTTCCTGAGAAGATGGGTAAACTTCGATGGGCAAAAAACACAGCGATTGATACATGTGATAGGGTATATCGTTGCGCACTAGCCCCTCTCCAGTTGGTTTATTGGGAAGATTATTCCGTTTGTTACAATTAGACAAAGACGGTCCTTAAGCTAGTAACTAGCGTCCATTCATAAATTATTATGTTTACCGCGCCAAGCCTAAAACTACAATCGGCGACAAAATTAGTTGAAACACTTCGTCCTAAAGGGGCATTTCTGACGTTTTATTGACTTCAAAAGGGGAAAATAAAGCTTTTTCTCCTCCATCTCCTCCATGGAATGTTATGCTACTGTTCGAGGGACCTATAGAAAACAGCAAACACCCCAACTTTGAATGGAGGGGAGGAGGAGTGTGGATTCTTTTGTTCTCTGAAGTTACGATATTTGAGTTCAATGTCTCGACAATTTTGTCGCCGATTGTAGATCCCATCCGCGTGAAGCCTGCGGCTGAAAAAGGGAAAGAGCAATCGTGCTTGCAGAGTACTTATTGGTGACATCAGAGCGCAAGGTAGTCTATAATGGGAATGGGTACGAGCCTTTAGCGCAGTGAGTTCTGGGATCGATTGTGTAAAACAAGCGATACTTATGATTGGTTAATGGTCACAGTAAATGCCATTGGCCAATCATAACTAACGCTTGTCCACCCAAACGATCCCATAACTCACTGCAACCAAAGCTCATACCCATTCTCCGTGGAGATTCTGAAATAAGGAATTGTAACACAGTCCATTCATTGGATATCTAGTCGCGTAGAAGTCTGGTGACAACGTTACCTCACGGACTTCCATTTCCCAGATTTGGTCTTCATAAGAATAAGCTTTGGACTCTTTTTTCAAGTTTTGTCGCTTTCCCGCCTCTGCTACCTTAGCGCTAGCAAAACAGAACAAAAATACCCATGTATACTATTAAGTAAGTAAGTAAGTAAGTAAGTAAGGAAGGAAGGAAGGAAGGAAGGAAGGAAGGAAGGAAGGAAGGAAGGAAGGAAGGAAGGAAGGAAGGAAGGAAGGAAGGAAGGAAGGAAGGAAGGAAGGAAGGAAGTAAATCATGAATACCGCTCAAAGAAGCGAGACAAACCCTTTTTTGCAATACTAGAGAGGTTAAGCATCACGTTTACGTCGAACGGCAAACGCGAATTTGTACCATGTGACCAAGTTAACCCTTTGCTTGTCGCCTACTGTTCACTATTTATCCAAATAAATTAGTAGTTTCATGCAATTTTTTTTATCCATAAGAAGNAAGTAAGTAAGTAAGTAAGGAAGGAAGGAAGGAAGGAAGGAAGGAAGGAAGGAAGGAAGGAAGGAAGGAAGGAAGGAAGGAAGGAAGGAAGGAAGGAAGGAAGGAAGGAAGGAAGGAAGGAAGTAAATCATGAATACCGCTCAAAGAAGCGAGACAAACCCTTTTTTGCAATACTAGAGAGGTTAAGCATCACGTTTACGTCGAACGGCAAACGCGAATTTGTACCATGTGACCAAGTTAACCCTTTGCTTGTCGCCTACTGTTCACTATTTATCCAAATAAATTAGTAGTTTCATGCAATTTTTTTTATCCATAAGAAGTGTCTGAGCTGTTTTTATCTGCTCATTTTCTATTTTGAGAAATTCTCAACTTGAGTCTGGCGTTTGCCGTTTGCCGTATACGTGGAGCTTAAACTTAAATGAGCGTCTTTAAGGGTACATGGTCTTAGAACCTAAAGATCTCCAATAGATAGATGATGAATTACAGGTTATTTGGAGTTGCGCAAGGGACTGGGTCGATTTTGTGTCAAATTGCACTATGGGATAGTTTTGGTTAAACGAATTTTACCCAGTTTCCTGCGCAACCTCGTAATAGCTAATAGCGCCCGAAAATAGCCCCACAATGCAATTCCACACAACACCAACCCAGTCTTTCACGGAAGATCTTAGATAACAATGACCTCAACCAGGTCGGCGTCCAGCGGTTTTAGTGAAAACAAGGGTTTGGGTGGGGTGCTAAGTCTCGCGGGCTCATAAAACCTGGTCTCGATCATTCTTATTTAAGGATTTTCGTCTCTTACGCCACCTTAGACTAGCTCATAAACCAACCTTTGAAGCAGACTTGTGTTGTAGATCTCACCCTCTGGTGTGTTCATGATAGCAAACTCCTCCATTGTTACTGTGTAGTAGGCTGGTTTGCTTAAGCATACTATGCTGTGCTTCACAACTCTGGGTAAAATAACTTCCGGAGCAAGTTTTGCCATGGTTTTGAGAACATTCTGAAAAGACTAAATGACAAATCGCCGTGTGAAGCTTTTAGTATTTCTTGGGGTGTTGAAACTATTATTGTCTGAACGACGCTCTTAACTGAACACGTTAACCAGTCATCACACGATAACTACGTCTGTCTTATTTGCCGTTTTTGTACTAGACGATGGCCATTTACAATAAAACCGAACAGCAACTAAGAGGAAACCAGACTCATCAAAATACTGCTTAATGATGCTGTAATAATTTAATTATTTCTGTAGCGTATTGTTCCGATAGTGAAAATTGTTTTTATTCTTTGGCAAACTCTCAGAGAGTTGGCGAGTCAAAAATTTTTCCAAGGGAGAGAATTATAGGTTTTAAATAGAGGAAGAAGAAGGGTGGTCGGTCCTCCTCCCTTAATTCTTTAAATGGATTTCAAGATGGCGGCCTGGCAGCCGCAAGTAATGTAATCAGCTTTCGTTTTAAAAAGCAGGATTGCCATGCATAGCTCTGCTGAACGAATGAAGACACTTCGTTAACTCCACAAAAATAGTAATTTGTATAATTATTTCTAATAAGCCTTGAAAGTTTCCATTAAATGTCTGGCATAGATAAAGCCTACCGGATCGGTTAATGAGTTTTCCGTTGTTGGTGGTGGTTAACCTACAACCCCTACCTCTTTTGAGTTGCTGTCAGACACAATCATGTCAATAATGGTGTCCACATGACGATCAACAAAGCTGCCTACTTCAACATCCATACTGTACATAATCCTGATCCATAAATTCTCTTTACAGGTAACTAAAAGCAAAAGAAGTAAAAGATCAAAGTCTTAAACAAACGTGCAAAAAATATACGGTACCACATTAAAGTGTAAACCCGTCCACGTTTTTTTTTTTTCAAGTTTTGATAAAGACCAGTAAGTGAATATTCATTGACATTGCTATAGACAGCGCCTTAAAATTAAGAAACTTACCAAGTCTAGAGGACACGAGTTAAAAGCGAGAAGAGATAGTGTTCCACACAGTCGGAAATTGTACACTCAGACGTTTGTATGGGGGGGGGGGGGATAGACAACCTCCACCCCCCCCCCCCCCCCCCTCCATATAAAATCTAAAAAGCGCTTTGCAAAGTGACCAGAAACAACACGTTAAGATATGTCTGGTTCTTCACACTCCATTTCGAAACATCATCATTGTTGAATACTCAGACGTTTCTGAAGACGGAAGGAAACATACTAGGGTATTATTACAGAATGTTAAATAACATAGGCTAAAAGCAGCATCAGTTACGCTTACATATGAGAGGATGGTGTGCATCCAAGAGGACCTGCAGTGCTATCTTGTCTCTCTTGTCGGCAGGAAGGTCTGGGTTGCTCTTCACAAGAGCATGGATCAAACATTGGAGAGCTGATGTAAGGATCCTGTGGCTGACTTCAGTTGGGTTGCCCTGTGGCGTATCTCCATTTACTAGAGGAACGGAACTGTCTTGGGCAGAAGGCTGACGGACGTAAAACAATTATTTTAAACACTTGAAAAGCTAACAATAATGATTATTATAGTTGGTAGTCAAATGTTTTGTAATTGTGACAATGAAGACCATGTCCAAAGAAGGCATAGCAGTGCTTGTAGTGATGAAAAATATTAATGTACTTCCTTAAGACAAGTTTTGAAAACTTGTTTCGCCATTTAACTTATTGAATATTTATTGAGCCAAACTTCATAAAAGTTTCAAAATATCCCTAACATTACAGAACTTGTTGAAAAGACATGAAATCTTCACTAAAACTGTGCAAATTGTTGTTAGTAGAGGAAACTGGTTATAAAAGCCGGTAAAAATCAAAGATGAAGACAACAGTGCTGAGGTTTACATGTATGATGGAAGCTCCCTGACCGTGAACAATCCTTTGTTTTGGTTCACAAATTGTGATTGACGGAATTAATGCGATGTCTCTATTGGTTATTAAGTTAAAAGTGATAGGAATACTATTTACACTATGCGTGGTCAAGTCCAAAAAAAAGAAACAAAAAAACAAAAAAAAAAAACAAAGCAATCTGTCAGGTTTCACAACCATTCCACTTCGTTAACTATGAACTGTGTTGCTGGAAACAAATTCAAATTGATTTAAACAGTTACCCTACATTGCTTCAACATCAATTCAAGCTCTGTTGAACAAATGCTGGGCAAACGTTGTAGCCCTTTAAATGAACAAAAAGTTCAAAAAATCCATGTTGAAAGACCATAATTACCGTTATCTGGAAGTGAGAAATGCAAGAAGATTCAACCCTTGCTCACCTTCTGTGTAGAAAGAAGCTTAGAAAATTCTGTCAGTAATGAAGACTGAAGCTCAACAGCACTTTCTCCTAAGCTGTTGAACAGGCGCTGGACAGACGACTGTGAATTTTGCCTGACTTTCCAACTAGAATGGGTCAGAAGAAACAGCAAAGCTCTGTACCATGGCCTAAAATGAACAAAATAAGAACAAGGTAAGCAGTGGTGGATCCAGACCTGCAGATAAGGGGGGAGGGCACGGTCATCTAGACCCTGAGACAAGGGGGGGGGGGGGG